GAATTAAATAATAGTTTTTATTCAACGATGCAGCCTCATGAAATATAATTTCCCGATTCGAAATGAAACTAAACCCTTTGAGGTTAGACCGCGTAAACCGCAGGAGACATGATGAAAAATGAAGAGGATGATTTCGTAAAACTGAATAGTGCATAACCATATCGATTTCAAGTCATTCGGTTATACCTCGTTTCAGTGACGAAAATGAGTTCCGAATTAACATTAGGCGTACGCCTAGACCCTCAAACATTGACTACGATTAAATTAAGTGACATTAATTTCAAAACAAAAGTCGAGGAGCTGAAGCAAGAAACGGCTGGGAGAGTTAACCTCTCCAAAGACCTATTCGGTAACCGTCATTAGAAAAACTGTGTGTTTAAAACTATGGATTAATTAATTATCAAGCTTTTTATATCGAATTGTTTTCCAGAATTAATTTATTGCGGATGCATCCTCGAAGATGATCAAACTTTGGAATACTACGGTTTGAAAAACGGTGCAATGGTGCACGTATTAAGAAAAAGGGAACGAGAGACGCTATCGTTCCCTAGATTCATACCAGAAGACAGTATTTTACAACTACTCCGAAGCGCTTTGAACGTACGTCAGCTACGTCCTCAGATTCTATGTAGATACGTAAGCGTGAGAGGTTACACCAGAGAGAGACTCTGGTTATACTTAATATTGCAGGGTTTAGGTAAAAAGCCAGAGGTTATGGACAATATCATTTCGTCTTCTCCTGGATTGCACGAAGACGCTGTAGCGATCGCTGTCTTACAAGATCCTGAATTAATGGCATGTTTCACAGACGTAGACACTGTCCGAAGGTAAGTTTTATTACACGTAGTGATTTCTATTATTAATATTCGTTAACGAGTATCAAATTATTCAATCAGATTCGCGAAGGCACATCCGGTTTTGGTCGAAGCTGCTCAGAACATAGCAGCTGCAGTGCATGCGGAGGTGCATAAGAACGCGACGACTGGCTCGAACTCCTTGCCAAATTCACAGCCTGCAGCCTGCCCTTACAATTTAGACAATTTAAGCGACGATGAGGAGATGGCAGGAGACTCGTCTCAATCCTCGGATTCCACACAGCCGACGAATCTGCCCGTACCTTCTAACGTGCCCGCCACTGTGCCTTCGAACGTAACCTCGAACGTAACCTCGAACGTAACTTCTACACGGCCGAACACTGCGATCACCACCGCACAATTGGAAGCGTCGTTGAGCAGAGCAAGAGCCAGAAGCAGCTACTCATCCGCGAATCCTCCATCGACCAGCATTATGAACAATCCTGAAATTATAACCACGGAAATGTTCACGCGAGCGATGCAGCAAGTGCACGCGCCGGCTATTACGCCTCGGGCGATTGAATTACGGAGGTTATTGGGACAGATGCACGAATTAGGACTGCGTAATGACACTCTTAACCTCCGCGCGTTGTATTTAACCAATTGCGACGTCCAAGCAGCGATCGAACTCGTGTTCAGTGGCTTTGGCAGTAATTAAGTTCGAAATTAGAGTCTGTGATCTGTTAGCGTTGCACGCAGAACGTATAAATTGTACGTCTCTTACTTTTAAATCTTATAACCTAAAAAAAATAAGGAAATTTTCGTTAATCGGTTAATTGACACGGCGCAACATCGCTAAGGATTTCGTCGGATCACTAAAAGCGTTATGGCTTGTTTATATACTTTTGATAATCTTATTGATAATCATATTTTATACAGTTTTGTTAAATGTACATAAAGCGATTAAATAAAGCGATAACAATTCGTATTGTCTATTATATTCTTAACCTTTCCATCCTTGATTACGTATTTATTTCTTCAGGTAAGCGTGCTCGACGTTTAACGCCTAATCTCAATTTCTGAAACAAAACGAATATAACCAAAGAAAAGGAAAACAATTTATTTTCTTCTTTCTTTTTCTTTCTAAAAACGTTTCTCCTTAATTCGCATTCGAATTATCGTCGAAAATAAGGTTATTTTATTATAAAAGTAAAAGGTTATTTTTTCGCGATGTTTTTTATACAACGTACGCGATTTTGAACGTAATTTTCAAGGCCGAGCAATGCACTTCGATCTTCAAACACAAATAAAGAAAATTATAATACGTCTGTGTATATAAAATAAAGGCTACGTAGTACATAGACGTATATGCAAATAAAGAGAGAGTACACGAACAGGATAGGATAGAACGTAATGATTATAAAGTTGTATCAGCATATTTACGAATAATATATACACGCATGTGTGAGTGTGAGAAATCGTGGTCGTGTGCATGTTGCATACGTCGTATCATGCGTACGTGTGTGTGTCGAGTGTAAGTGTACAAGAGTTTAGGGAACGCGACGTGTAAATGTTCGGTAGGAAAGTTATGTTGAGACGGTGTGTCGTGCGAGGGAACAGTAGTGCATCGTTTTAATAACGCATCGATGATGTATGAACAAACAGCGATTAAGTATTGACCTTCCTAGCGTTTCACTTCGATCACACACGTCCCCTTACGAGCGTTCTCTTCTTTACACGTCCCGCATACTTACGCCAGTCACTCGGCCTCGGCGCGATGGGTTATTTCCTAAGGAGCGATCATACTTTTTCAAACAAACAAATAAAACTCGCCTGTAAGCATTGAACAGACATACGATTTCCCAGCGAATTTTTTTACACGCGATGGGTTATTTCCCGAACGGCGATATCACACATTTTAACGAACACACTTCTGTTTGAGTAAGTCCGCTCGTACGATTTTCCACTGTTTCTTTTACACTCTCTTGCACGCGGTACGTTGGGTTATTTAAGAACCATTCTGTAAGCCATTTTAAAACTGTTTTAATAAGAATAATCACGTATTTTCTCAACATTTTCAGAGCCCATTTCAGGTTTCTATTAGTATAACGATTTATGAAACAGACGTAGAGATGCTTCCTAATATACAGGATAAGGAGTACAGAGTCCTCGACTTAGTTCGCCAACGTGAGATACAGGTAATTTATCTAATTCAATTAATAATAAGTATTGATTGTTCTTTTTAAATTTTATCCAGGACTCTGTGACTTATGCTGTGTCGCAAAAGCTGCACGTGACAGAGAATCTGATCTCTCGTCTGGGACTTGAGAAAGAATTGAACGGCCATACGGGATGCGTGAATTGTTTAGAATGGAACGAAAGCGGCCAGTAAGTATTATAAATCTAATACGTAATTTATGTTATTTCTAGTATAGTAGAAGCATTAGAAGACAGATGTGTTTGTACGATATAAAGAAATGTGAGAATGTAAGATGAAATGAATTTTTAGAATCCTGGCTTCGGCGTCGGATGACATGAACATTATATTATGGGATCCGTTTCGGTACGAGAAGAAATTGGTGCTCCGTACACGTCACCATGGGAATATATTCTCTGTGAAGGTACCACGATTGATTCTTCTGACTTAAAACAATACATACATCATAGAATTAAATGTTTTAAGCAAAAGTTACTGTTTTCTTATTGATGAATGTATATTCGGTTTCAGTTCTTGCCAAAGTCTGACGACAGGATATTGGTATCGGGCGCGGGGGACGGGAAAGTACGGGTGCGGGACCTTACGATTCTCGAGCCTCTGTTCTCGTGTAATTGTCACGTGGGCCGCGTGAAACGTATCGCCACCGCGAACACTGTACCTTTCCTGTTCTGGAGCGCCGCCGAGGACGGCCTCGTGTTACAGTACGACATCCGTACCCCCCATAGCTGTAAAGACGATAGTTATAATAGTGTGTTAGTGAATCTTGTCAATCACGCGGGCCGATACGCTGAGGGCAAGTGTATTTCTGTGAATCCAAAAAGACCTGAACTGATAGCCGTCGGAGCCAACGACGCGTACATTCGGATGTACGACCGTAGGATGATTAAACTCTCTCCGGTAATTGTTAAATATTCACAAGTCGTATTTAGAATTCATAATTTAGACTGTGTATTTTGTCAGAATGATAAATAACGAAAATTATTAGAGATATCATAAGCTGGATGCACTTTTCAATGTTTAACTGGTAAAAAAATCACAGTCTTTCTATTAATAATCATTGAATTTATAAAATGTTTTATTTATCATAAGAATCCGGAGGCTATCGATAATAGAGGAAGACTGAATGATGTGTATTTCCCTACAAATAGGTGCCTGCTTCGTTTCAGCATAGACAGTGGACAAGAGGGAGCACGTTTCGTTTCCCTGGCGGAGGCGACGCAGAGGAAAACGTGCCGTTGGCTTGCGCACAGTACTTTATCGCGGGTTCGTTCGTACGATCAGAAATAGCGTACGCGACTCCTATACCCTTATCTCCCTGTTTAATCGCATATTACACGATCACTCTAACGGAGATTGTTTCATGTTACAGGCCATTTGCATTCACGACAGCGCGACACCAACAGAAGCTTGACCACGACGTATTTAACGTTCAGCGCCGACGGGAACGAGCTCCTCGTCAACATGGGCGGCGAGCAAATTTATCTGTTCGACGTGAACAATCCGAAGAACATGAAAACCTGCTTTGGATACTCGTCGAACATGTATCTAGGTAATCATAATAATCGTTACAGATTTTACTCGTTTCATTAAGTCATTCATTAAACGTTCGTTCTCTTCTCTTTTGCGTTTCACGTAATTTTCATTAATCTTTTAAGCATTAATGTATTCAAATTTTTTACAATTTACTGACAGGAGATTTGTGTACGGACAAGAATGAAGATGTTACCACTTTGATTAAGAAAAACGTTAAGAATCTACCGCCGCACGTGGAGGAATTGAAACGTCAGGTGAGAGGAATCATGCTTAGAGGTTTACTTTATGTTTCTTTCTATTATTATGATTTTCTAGGCTGACGAGAGTTTTGAGCAACACAAATATTCGCTGGCGATTAATTTGTACAACAAAGCGATCAGTTATTGTCCTACAGCGTCCGCGCTTTTCGCTAACAGAGCTGCAGCGTACATGAAACGAACTTGGTACGCGTTTGACGTTGTTTAATAAATTTTAAACACTGTATAATACAATACTCTGAAATATTTTACGAATTACAGGGATGGAGACACGTACGCTGCTCTCAAAGATTGCCAGACGACGTTACTCCTCGATCCAGGACACATAAAAGCTCATTTCAGGTAAAACGACTGGCAAACTCTTACTTAATCTAGAAACTCTTCAGCTTTAATCTTGATATACTTACGTGTTCGCAGACTGGCTCGTTGCCTTTATGATCTGCACCAAGCGCCAGAAGCAGATAAAGTGATTAAAGAGTTCCAACAGAAGTTCCCTGTGTACGCGTCGAACTCTGCATGTAAAGCTTTAAAAATGGATATAAAGGAAGCCGTGGATTCAGGTACGTTCGTCTTTCTCATCAGGTCGAAGCTAATAATTCAATTTTTACTTGTAATCTTCTATCAGGTCGAGACAGCGAGCTGAGTCAGTCGATGATCCAAATATCGGATCACGAAGAGGAATGGCGAAGCAATACGTTCGATTACAAGATGAGATTCTGCGGACACTGCAATACGACCACCGACATAAAGGAGGCAAACTTCTTTGGCAAGTATGTGAATAATATAAAAAACAATGAATGAATTGTATAATTATTGTTGCATTTATAATTACCGCTTTTTATCTTTAAGCAATGGTCAATATATTGTGGCAGGATCGGACGATGGTTCGTTTTTTATATGGGATCGTAATACCACAAATATTGTTAGGGTGTTGAGAGGCGACGAACGCATCGTGAATTGCCTCCAGCCCCATCCGTCTACGTGTCTGCTAGCTACTAGTGGCATCGACCCAGTAGTTCGATTATGGAGTCCTTTACCTGAGGTACGCGCTTCAATTATGACTAAAATGTAATAGTTTTTATTAAATTGACGTTTGTTTGAAACAGGACGGCAGCGTGAACGAAAGGGAGATCCAAAATCTGGAGGACGCCGCGTCTGCGAATCAGGTTCGCATGAACAGCGACCCGTTCGAGGTGATGTTAATGAACATGGGTTACCGGTTTCCGGGTCAGCCGGTAGACTTGAACGACGACGACGACGGTAATCAAGACCAAACGATCGTGCAGCCTAGCTGTAAACCGAGTTAATTAAAGGGAAATTAACAAACATCGGAGGAGGAGTAAACGATCGAAAACTTACGTCAATGTTATATAGAAAAATGCTGCTGCTTTAATTGCAACTATTTTTCTTTTGTCGATTTCTCATAGTCGTTGGTTTTTTATCAGGTATACAGAAATATTTCAGAAAATGTTAAAACCGATCTAAGCGTTAGAGGAGGGAGAAAAATAGTTGTGTATTGAATAAATGTGAAAATTCTTATCCGTGACGTTTTTCATGTACAGAGGCAATTGCTAAAAAAAGAAAAAAACCGATTAATTGATAAGACAACGTGGTAGAAGGAGACTATAGTGATATATTTAAATAATTAAATCTTCTGATAAGCCGACAGATGAATTTCGGTGAACGCTAGATCTACATACGAACTTTCATTCGAATTTATATATTTCTGTTCTTTTTTTGTCAGCAGTTAGTTCTAATTAAGTTTCACGGTGTAATTCTATCGATGTTTATGTTAATCGCACGTAGCGATGCACAGCGAGCACGTATAATTATTTCAGATGGTTATCTATGTAGTCGTGATATTTCTGAATTTTTCATTAATTAACTCTGAGGTACGAGCTCCCATAAACTTTGTAACGTGCTGGTTTCCCGGGGCTCCTCTGCTGCGACACCTAAGTAAGTCGAGAACGCCGGTCGCCTCTGATTCAAACCTTCGGAGAAGTAATAACCGAACACGTTCGAAATCTCAATTTCCTCCTCTTGTACTTCAGATTGTTGTTCTTCGTTTAAACGTTGTTGTACCGGAGCCTGTCACGGGACGATTAACTGCATTGTAATGTATTTATTTATTCAATAAATTTTTTTACGTAAATCAGACTTTTATAAAACATTCAAAGACGAGATATCACCTGATGCTCGAAAGTGTAATCGACACCGAATATAGGAGACTTCTCGAACGTTTTCAGTATCATCAAAATCTCCTTGTGGACGGTGTGAAGCTTCTGAATCGGATTTATTTGAAATCCTAATACATACTCGCCGCTCGTTTCTGTACTCGTGATCACCAAAGTAGGCCCGAACTTAGAATTCTTTATAGAAATCTGTATAGAAATTCATGCTTTATTTTTACAATTAATAAGTATTCATTTATGTTCTTCGCCTACTTACGTTGGCTATTACGAGATAAGGTATTGATATGTTGAATTGATAATTCATATCAGCGAACCATACTAAACGTATGTTAGTTATGATCAGGATTCCAATATTCCCCTAACAGAGAAGATAGAATTACTGTTTTTATTGTTTCAATTTTGTATGGAATAATGAAATAGGTCTCGACCTGTTCTAATGATAAATTCCAAATATCTTGCGAAGTAGAATGCACCACTTCTTGTGGTAATAAAGTTAATTGCTTGTCGTTAATGATTCCACTTCTCAATCGAATCTCTCGATAAATTTTAGATGAAACGTAAGCTCTGTAAAAAAAGTGATAGTCGTTAATTAAGATTCCCTCTTTCTACTCTCTCTACTGGTTTTCATGTATTCCTAATTTCTACTGACTTGCCTTGTGAGATAATTTATTTATTAATTACGAGTAGGAAAAGGTGATCTTGAAACTTTTTAATTATGTAATAAGCATTTTTTATATACCTGTAGACACCAATAACAGATGTATAGTGCCTTGTACTCTTCGGATCTAAATTTGTAAATATAAATTCATATCTACAATTTCTAAAAGAAGCTAAAACATACAGAGCTTGCACGTGTTTCCCTTGGAGCTACAAAAATATCTGTTCATTATTTAAAGTACGCAGAAATAATATAGAATAATAACTGATGAAACTATCTACTGACGCTGTGTACGGTTTTAGTGTTCACTGTGACAAAAGTATTAAAGCCAACACCTGTAAGAAACATTTAACATTTTCTATTTCTATAATTCTTGAAGAAGTACATAACTGAAGCTGTAAGTTTAAATTGTTGAAGTGATTTCGTGTGAATCGTACTTAGATTTACTCTGGGTAGAAATAGAGAATGCCAGAGAATCCTGAGATTCGTCACTACGAGCCTCCCATTATCACCTGCGTTCCCTTTCGTGTCTTCTATTAAATCCAGTTTGTCAACTGTGAACTCTCCCAATCGCAATTGCATTTGACTAACAGGAAGAAACAGAAACTTTACAATATTTCATACAAAGTATCCAGATTTGTATCTAAGAAATGTTACATTACTTGTAGGAAATATCAAATCGGACTTCATTGTCTTGCCACATTTTTATTAACGACGTATAATGTACTAAGTATCTACTACATAACAGCGTAGTTCAACTATTGTAAAAATCAATATCTCCATCCTTCCATAAGACCTGACTATACATTATGTACGAAGCGATGCTTTACTTGAGAGTCCAGCATTAGTTTTAAAACGATTGTTACATTGCATTCTTGAAACATAGTTTCTGGATATTCAAAGTGTTCTGCTGGAATCTGTTTCTTCCTTTTTGATACATAATGAATTATAAAATCCTTCCTTTTCGTTTTCCATTATAATTTATTTACAGAATCACCTTTACAGTTTACTCTTTCTAAACGTGTATTAAATCCTTAAACAGAATTAGTGATGCTCTCCATGAGCTTCGTCCTCATCATGAGAAGGCGCGTAACTAATTCCAAAGGCTTGCTCTACACCAATTGTTATTAAGAATGCAGGAATTCCAACTAGGAACCCACGAGTTAATCCTCTGACCGCTCGCGACACATTAGTACCAGGAAATGCTTTATAACGCCATACTTCGTTTCTTAACCAAGGATCCTTTAATCCTTTCTCGGCTAATTCCTCTCGGAGCTTCATGAGCTCTGGGACTTCTTCTACTTTGTATATGTCAGGCTTTGGCACTGTGTATGGTGGCTCGTGACCGTGACCGTGGCCTCCCATCTTTCCTCAGATCTTCACCTG